CACTGAGAGAGGGGGGTTAAAAAGTTGTGTCTTTGTCAGTATGTTTAGTTCCTGTGAGTCAGCGTGGGTGTTGTGTCTCTGTGGCTGTGTCTGACTGTTGTCGTGTCTGTGTTGTTGTGCCCCTTGTCCCCAGCGCGGCCACTGAGCAACCTCCTCCTGCCGTCGTCTCACAGCCTGACCCCAGCTGGGGACGAGGGTAGCAAGCCCATCAACACGCAGGGTAAGACTGAGACACACACAAGACTGGACACCCCGTCTCTCTCTCACACTGAGACACACAGGGGTTCGCTGGACACCCGTTCTATCTATCCTTCATAGGGCAGTTTTTGGGGTTCAGCCCTGGAGCCCCACGATCTCTCCCTGTTTCCTTGTTCAGTCTGTCTGTCTGTCATGACATCATTTCCTGTGTCAACAATCTAATTAGTCATGTTAATTAATTCAAGCCCCCCCTCTTCTCCCAGCAGCAGGTGGGCGTGGCTACAGCGAGGCTATGGCCCCGCCCCTGCAGGAGGCCCCACCCCCGTACCCCGGGGCCCCGCCCCCTCCCAGCGTGCCCCACTACGCGGAGGCCGACATCGTCAGCCTGCAGGGCGTCAGCGGGAACAACACGTACGCCGTGCCCGCGCTGGCGGCCGAGGACAGCGCCCCCGCCGAGCTACCCCGCGCCTGCCTGGTCTTCAGGGAGAAGCTGGGCGAGGGGCAGTTCGGGGAGGTGAGCAGTTACCCCCACACGGGGCCCGGAACCCCGTAACGGGACCCAGACGCCGTTAGTGTGACCCAGACTCACCCCACTGTCCCCCCTGTGTGTCCTGGGGTGACCCCTCTGTCTGTGTCCCCAGGTCCACCTGTGTGAGATACACAGCCCACAGGAGCTGCCCGGACTGGAGTTCCCCTTCAACATCCGCAAAGGGCGCCCCCTTCTGGTGGCCGTCAAGATCCTGCGCGCCGATGCCACCAAGAACGCCAGGCAAGTGCTGCTTGTTCCCCCCTCCCACCCCTCTCTGTGTAGAGCCTCCTGGCCTGACTGGAGGAGCTCACCCAGCTGTGTCTGGAGAGAAGCCAGGGTATCGGTGAATGTGTGAGAGTCTATGATTGTTTATCTGTGTGTGTGAGACTGTCTGTCTGTCCTGTGATAGACTGGTGTCCTGTGCAGGCTGTACCCCGCCTTGCTTCACACAGACAGAACCCCAGGTCTGGTATTGAACCCCGGACCCTACATGGACCCTAAACGAGCCTACATGTGTGCAAGAGTCTGTCCGAGTGAGACTGAGTGTCTGAGTGTGATTGTGAGTCTGTGCGAGTCTACATGTGTCCGAGTGAGACTGAGTGTCTGAGTGTGATTGTGAGTCTGTGCAAGTCTACATGTGTCCGAGTGAGACTGAGTGTCTGAGTGTGATTGTGAGTCTGTGCAAGTCTACATGTGTGCGAGAGTCTGTCCGAGTGAGACTGAGTGTCTGAGTGTGATTGTGAGTCTGTGCATCTGTGCGAGTCTGTCCCCGCGAGTCTGCGTGACTGCGAGTCTGCGCGCGAGAGAGTCTGAGTCTGCGTGACTGCGAGTGTACGTGTGCGAGAGAGACTGAGTCTGCGTGCAAGTGTACGTGTGCGAGAGTGTCTGAGTGTGACTGTGAGTCTGCGGGCGAGTGTACGTGTGCGAGAGAGTCTGAGTCTGTGTGCGAGAGTGTCTGAGTGTGACTGCGAGTCTACATGTGTGCGAGAGTCTGTCCAAGTGAGACTGAGTGTCTCTGAGTGTGACTGCGAGTCTGCGCATCTGTGCGAGTCTGTCCCCGCGAGTCTGCGTGACTGCGAGTCTGCACGCCAGAGTCTGAGTCTGCGTGACTGCGAGTGTACGTGTGCGAGAGAGTCCGAGTCTGCGTGCGAGTGTGTCTGAGTGTGACTGCGAGTCTGTGCCCGAGTCTACGTGACTGCGAGTCTACATGTGTGCGAGTCTGTGCATCTGTGCGAGTCTGT